AAGGGGCACCGAACTGAGAATTGCACGCCGTTGAGATAGCACCTGGAGGAGTTGGTGGCAGCAGGTCACTTAGATAAATACATTGAAGGAGGAACGCAGCCAGCCCCCCAGGACCAGAATATGCCCAACGGGATGCCAATCGACGCCCCACCTCAAGGCGTTATCAATGTGATACATGGAGTCTTTGAACCTGAGCCTGTATGCGAGCTCAGGGGATCAATCAAAAAGGCCGAACACTTAAGAGAGGTGCTAAGTGCCCAACCCGTCGTCAAGAAAGGGAAGACAGAGGCCAAAAATATCATGTCTTTTTCAGATAAAGACTTGGAACGGATATATTGCCCTCACAATGATGCCCTGGTCGTCACTCTCCGAGTCAAGGATTTTGACGTCAAGCGGATTCTGATTGACTAGGGTAGTTCATGCGAAATCATGTACTACGAAACATTTAAACAATTGAAGCTACAAGACAAAGACTTGGCGTCTGCCGTATCTCCCCTAATTGGATTCAACTCCATGCCAGAGTGGCCCGTCAGCAAAATAAATCTTCCAGTCAAAGCAGGAAGCGCGACAAAACAAGTGGAGTTCTGGGTATTGAAGGTCCCCTCCACTTACAATATCATCTTGGGCAGAACATGGCTGCATGCCATGCGATCGGTGGCGTCATCCTATCACCAAGTAATGCGGTTCCCCAACGACGCCGGGGTAATTGAAGAAGTCTATGGAGATCAGATCATGTCGAAACAATGCTTCGTTACAGTGAATGGTAATTGAAGAGGTCTATGGAGATCAGATCATGTTGAAGCAATCTTCGCCACTGTGAATGGCAGCCGCGCTGCCAAAGGATACGTTCATTCGGTGGAAGAACCTGAGAGCAATGAGCTATTCGCAGATGTCGGCAAAGCAGCTGATCAAAAAGCAGTGGAAGACTTGGTAAAGGTAAATATAGATGAAAAGAACCCGGATAAGTTCCTTTTGCTCGGTTCGTCGTTGTCCAACACTGAGAGATTAGAGATCTTGGAATTTTTGACCTCTAACATCGAAGTGTTCGCCTGGACACCATCCGACATGCCAGGCATTGATCCCAATTTCATCTGTCACCAACTCAATGTTCACCCATCAGCCAGACCAGTCATTCAGCGCACACGCAGATCAGCACTCCATCATGCCGAGATAGTGGCGGAAGAAGTGGGAAACCTACTGGAGGTAGGAGCAATCAGAGAAGTACACTACCCCAGATGGATTTCCAACACAGTCATGGTACCAAAGAAGAATGACAAGTGGCATGTGTGCGTCGACTACAAAACAGTCAACAAGGCGTGCCCAAAGGATAACTTTCCTCTACCACGGATAGATCAACTGGTCGACCTAACGGCAGGGCACAACCGACTTAGCTTTCTGGATGCATACAGAGGCTACCATCAAATCGCCATGCATGAACCAGACCAGGAGGTCACATCCTTTACAACTCCCGGAGGACTATACTGTTACAAGGTCATGCCCTTTGGCCTAAAGAACGCAAGGGCAACGTTCCAACGGATGGTCACCAAGATGTTTGAACCATTGTTAGGCAGAACAATGGAGGCTTACATCGACGACATGGTGGTCAAGAGAAAGGATGAGAATGACCATCTCAAGGACCTAGGCGAGATGCTTGGGTTCCTGAAGAAGCACAAGTTACGCCTCAATGCGTCCAAGTGTGCTTTCGGAGTAGGATCTAGCAAATTCCTGGGCTTCCTTGTAACCAACCGGGGTATAGAAGCAGACCCCTCTCAGATCAAAGCAATCCAGGATTTGGAGAGACCAAACTCAGTAAAGGAAGTGCAGCATCTCACCGGCATGGCAGCCGCACTCAACCGATTCATTAGCCGGTCGTCAGACAGACTACGACCATTCTTTCAAGCTTTGAAAGCCAAATTCGAGTGGGACGAAGAATGCGATCGCGCCCTAGAGAGCTTGAAAGAATACATGTCTTCTCCACCACTGCTTGTCACCCCAATACCTGGAAAGGAACTCTTCCTGTACTTGGCAGTCTCTCAGCACGCAATTAGCGCAGTGTTGGTCCGTGCGGAAGGAATCCAACATCTGCCCATCTTTTATGTCAGCAAGACATTACTGGGCGCCGAAACAAGGTACTTACCATTAGAAAAATTGGCCTTGGCCTTGATGATGGCCTCAAGGAAGTTGTCGCATTACTTTCACGCCCACACCATAGTCGTCCTAACAGCTTTCCCATTAAAAGCTTTGTTTGAGAGGGCGAACTTTTCTGGGCGAATCTTGAAGTGGGCAGTAGAGTTGGGACAATTCGACATCAAGTTCCAACCCAGAACCGCAATAAAAGCTCAAGCATTGGCGGATTTTGTCGCAGAATTTACTCCAGGAAGTCATCATATCTGCCCAGTCGACCTGACTGACACAACCGAACTAGGGATAGAAGTTGACGACGGAATATCGCAACCCCTGGTGCAGGATACTCAATCAGACTCCAAGACAAACCAAAGTAAAGAGGACAAGGAAGAAGCAAACCATGCTGCACCAAGCCAAGACTTGCCAACAAATGAAGACTTGGTTCAATCAGATAGCGAGGGGTAGACCACAAACAGGAACCTTGAAGAAAACACCAGCAACATTCTTGACTCCACGACATCATCTGACCCCTCCACTTGCTGGAAGTTGTTCGTTGGAGAGATGTGGAAGCTCTTTGTGGATGGAGCGTCCATCCGACATGGAGCAGGGCTCGACATAGTCCTCATCTGTCCAGACGGCCTAGTAGTGGTGCAGGCAATCAGCCTTGGCTTCCCAGCATCAAACAACGAAGCAGAGTATGAAGCGCTTCTTGCAGGCCTCAAATCAGCGTTCTTCATGAAGGCCACCGAGTTAATGGTTTACAGTGACTCACAGCTCGTGGTAAACCAAATATCTTGCGACTACGAAACAAAAGATGACAGGATGGCCAAATACCAAGAGTTGGTCAGAACGGAGATCAAGAAATTTGAAGTAGTGAGGATAGAACAGATTGGCAGAGAGGAAAACAGCAGAGCAGACGAACTAGCGGGCTTTGCATCAATGGCAGATACATCCATCCCTCATCTGTTGCTCATCGACTACTTACCAAGACCCAGCATTGAAGACCCCGAAGCACAAGAGATATGTTGCGCCGAACTAGGCCCCTCATGGATGGACCCCATCATACTGTTCTTAAAAGATGGCGTCCTACCAGAAGAAAAGAAAGAAACCAACAAAATTAGAGCAAAGTCGCAGCGATTTTGGCTCTCCCCATCCATGGCATTGTACAAAAAATCATTCTCTGGACCTTATCTAAAGTGTGTTCACCCCAGCAAAGTGGAAGTATTCTTATTCGAAATACACGAGGGCGTATGCGGAAGCCATCAAGGAGGAAGATCACTAGCATACAGAGCCATTTCACAAGGATATTGGTGGCCATACATGCAGGCAGACTCGGAGAAATATGTGAAGAAGTGCGAGAAATGCCAGAAATTCGCGCACCAAATACATCAACCAGCTAGAGAACGCCTACCATTGACTAGTCCATGGCCTTTCGCAATGTGGGGCTTGGACATAGTAGGACCACTTCCAACAGCACCCGGCAACAGGAAGTTCTTTCTCGCAGCAACAGACTACTTCACAAAGTGGGTGGAAGCAGAAGCATTGGCATCAATCAAAGAAAAAGATGTGAAGAAGTTCGTCTGGCAGAATATCATCAATCGGTTTGGCATACCAAAACCCCTAATCTCAGACAACGACACTTAGTTCGACGGCAAAATCTTCAGAGGATTTTGTGAAGAGTACAAGATAGAGTTCTACAATTCTACACCGGCATATCCCCAAGCAAATGGTCAGGTAGAAGCATCAAACAAGGTAGTATTGGATGGACTGAAGAAACGGTTAGAAAAAGCCAAAGGCAAGTGGGCGGAGGAACTCCCTCATGTTTTATGGGCTTACCGCACCACACCTCGACGGTCAACAGGAGAAACTCCATTCTCCCTAGCCTATGGTATGGAAGCAGTAATCCCACTTGAAGTCGGTCTCCCCACAATTAGAAGCGAAAACTTTGATCCAGACTTAAATGGAGAAGCCATAGCATTGGAGCTTGACCTTACGGAAGAAAGAAAAGAAAGAGCACTGGTTCACATTGCCTCATACCAACAAGAGTTATCCAGGAAATACAACAAAACAGTGCATCCAAGGCAATTCAAGATCGGAGATTGGGTACTGCGCAAAGTGATGGGAAACACCTTGGTACCGGGAGATGGCAAGTTAGGGCCCAACTGGGAAGGACCTTGCAAAGTGGTTGGATTAGCAGACAAAGGGGCATACCACTTGGAAGATGAGGATGGCAAAGCAATCCCCCAGCCATGGAACACGGCCAATCTCAAATTATTTTACTTTTAGTTTCTCCTTTAAAGTATATGTAATTTCCTTTTTCTCAATAAAGCAAGGTCAATTCTTTTCAGCATAGTTGTTTTTTGTAAGAGATTGTATTAGTAAGTTAGGGACATCAAAAAGCAAGGTTGGCTGGAAAAACCAATCTACAGGTTGGCTGGAAAAACCAACACCCCTCCTAAGCCCAGGATAAGGATCCAGGCTACGGGACGTTTGGTCGGAATAACCAAACATTTTATTCTAAGTTGGCTGGAAAAACTAACTTAGAGGTTGGCTGCATTAAACCAACTGTTGTTACTCTTCAGCCGAAGTAAGTTTAAGGCTGAAGAGTGGTTGGCTGGATTAAACCAACTCTTGTTACTCTTCAACCGAAGCAAGTTTAAGGCTGAAGAGTGGTTGGCTGGATTAAACCAACTCTTGTTACTCTTCAGCCGAACCAAGTTTAAGGCTGAAGAGTGGTTGGATGGATTAAACCAACTCTTGTTACTCTTCAACCGAAGCAAGTTTAAGGCTGAAGAGTGGTTGGCTGGATTAAACCAACTCTTGTTACTCTTCAGCCGAAGTAAGTTTAAGGCTGAAGAGTGGTTTAAGGCTGAAGAGTGGTTGGCTGGACTAAACCATCTGTACTCCTCAGCCGAAGTAATGATATCGGCTGAAGAGTGGTTGGCTAATAAGCATAGATTGACCCACCAAAAAATCGAAATAACACGCGAAGGAAAGGAAGCAATCGAAGAGAGCAAGTACAAACAAGACAACAAACCGATATAACACTGGACTCAAGAGAAAGTTTTCAATACCAAGTCCATAACAATTTTCATTACAGAACAAGGGACTCAGCTCGGTTACAAAAGAAAGAAGAAAAAGTGCAAAATCAGCTAAAAAGATCATCTATTTCAACATCCAGCTCGGCATCAACCCGAAGCCCGGTTTCCGACGGAATTACAGTCTGAATTGGGAGCTCGGTCTCGGCCTGGAGCTCGGTTTTAGCTGGTTGCTCAATGATCACATCCTCTACCACAGGCTCCAACCGAAGTGATTGGTTAGCTGGAACATTGTCAACCGGAGCGTCAGTTGGCTCATTCTCTTCATCGTCGTCGTTAGATGCCTCAAGGAATTGCTTCTGGAGATCGGCTGCATACTCCACCAGTGAGGCCGGAATGAAGTACTGAGGAGCGTTGTAGACCTCGGTTTCGGGACCACAACCGAGCTGCTCCACAGCACTCCTCCAGCCGCACTTGAAGAACAAGTCCTTCGCAGCTTCACACTGCTGAATGTATACAGCCTCGCCTTCCTTGAAGCCCTTCTTTTCGGCATCATCAGATTTCTTCTTCAGCTTTTGTATTTCGGTGGCCTTAGAGCTTTCAAGTTTTGCTAGCTCCCACAGGTGCTTATCTCTCATTTCGGTCAAAGCTCTTTGCTTGTCAGCGTTAGCCGAGGCAACTAGTCCGGTTAGACGTGTTACCTCGGCCTCCAGCTCGGCCATCTTTTCCTGGGATTGTTTCAGCTCGGTGGTCTTGGCTTCGGCTTCAGCCGTGGCTTCCCTTGTAGTCCTTGTGAGCTCCAACACTCGCTTGTGGGCGATATTGTTCTTCTGAATGGCCTGCAAAAGAATAGTAACTTTCTTTTTTAACCGAATTGAAAGTTGGAAAAAAAAACTGGAAGGATATAAAAGCAAAGAGGAAAAGTGCCTACTAGGATCACAGATTTTGTTGAAGATCGGATGGCCTTCAACTCGGTGTTCAATTGATTGTGGTGCTCCATGTCTTTTGGAAGGCACACACTTTTGACGAGGTTGAAAGCCAATATGTGATCCTTCTCAGCAACCACTGAGTCAGTCTCTTGTATATCTCGGTTTTGAAAAGTGAGCTTGGGTGGGCACCACTTTAAGGTAGCTCGGTCTGAGGGCTCCGGTTGTGGACTTGGAGGGTGGCTCGGTAGAAGGATGGTGTCGTCCTCATCAACCAGACGTTGTTCGGTCTGGGTAGTCCGGGCGCGTTTAGCTCGACGTAAGGAAGAAGGCTGTTGAGAAGGAAGGGCGACGACGGTCTCTTGAGCCTGGCTTGATTCTGGTACTTCGGGCCTGTTTGTTTCGGTCAGAAGGGCCCTGACTCTGTTTCTCTTGGCCATCTCGTCTTCAGCGGTTAGTGGGATTAGTCTAATTTCTGGCAAGGTTGGATCCTGTTCGGGGGCCTCCTCTAGCAGGAAGTCGGTCACTCTCGCTTTTCGGCGACCACTGTGTCTGTAGGTCGGCTCAAAATTTTACAGCTTAGCCCAACTTCGTTCTTTATATCGAAGTGTGGCGCGAAGAGTTTCAATGTTGGGGTAGCTGTACAATGATTTAAAATGGGCTGAATCTGCAGAAAGAAGACAAACTGTTAGATCGGCTTAAAATTGGAAGCCGAGGTAAAAGACAAAGAATAAAAGGAAACCGAAGTAAGTTATACCGGGGATTCCTTTTTTCCAATTTATACTTCGGCCAGGAATCTGGGCTTGATGATCTTCAAAGTTCCCAAACACCCAGAAAAAATCGTCATCGTTTAAGTCTTTATCCGGTGTATCTTTTATCATCTTCTCTCGGCGACGCCGTATTCTTAAATAGTAGACCCACCCATCTTCTTTTGATCCTAAGGAATATTGGTGGAATATTTCGGCTAGACCGAGGTTGAGACCGGCTTGGCAGTTTAGTTCGGCTATTCCCATTATTATACGGTATGAATTGGTGGATAGTTGGGTTGGGCATATTCTGGTTTGTCTAAGGAATTCACAAATCAAGGGTTGGACTGGGAATCTTAGTCCGGTCTCTATTATTGAAAGAAGGGTAAAAGGCAGAAAACCTTCATTCCCCCATGGTGTGACCCCTTTTTTGGCTAGGGTAAGGTGGACATCGTCAGGAATGTTGTAGTCCTTACGGAATTCGGCTAAACTACCTGGTGTCTCTACTAAGAATCTATACTTCCCCATTTATTTTATAAGTTAAAGAATAAACTAGTTCGGTCGGAAAACGGTGCTCAGTAGCTCGGTTGAGCGCACAGAGGAGTGCCTAGGCAACCTAAGTCTGCAAAGTGGAAAACAAAGGTGTTAAGCACAGATCGTTGACCGTGCTACAAAATCAAAGTAAAGATAAAGAAGTCCTACTTCGGCCTATGGGGGATGCTACAGGGTTTATCTCGGTTTAGTAAAGTGCTTGGTAGCTCGGATTGAGGAAGGGGTTCGATAGATCGGTTTGTGTGTGGGATTGGTTTTATACGGTTTGAACTACGGGTTTTGTTACCTCGGTCAAACCTATAGGGGCAGCTTTCTTAGTTCACAAATCAAGGGTTGGACTGGGAATCTTAGTCCGGTCTCTATTATTGAAAGAAGGGTAAAAGGCACAAAACCTTCATTCCCCCATGGTATGACCCCTTTTTTGGCTAGGGTAAGGTGGACATCGTCAGGAATGTTGTAGTCCTTACGGAATTCGGCTAAACCACCTGGTGTCTCTACTAAGAATCTATACTTCCCCATTTATTTTATAAGTTAAAGAATAAACTAGTTCGGTCGGAAAACGGTGCTCAGTAGCTCGGTTGAGCGTACAGAGGAGTGCCTAGGCAACTTAAGTCTGCAAAGTGGAAAACAAAGGTGTTAAGCACAGATCGTTGACCGTGCTACAAAATCAAAGTAAAGATAAAGAAGTCCTACTTCGGCCTATGGGGGGATGCTACGCGGTTTATCTCGATTCAGCAAAGTGCTTGGTAACTCGGATTGAGCAAGGGGTTCGATAGATCGGTTTGTGTGTGGGACTGGTTTTAAACAGTTTGAACTACAGGTTTTGTTACTTCGGTCAAACCTAGAGGGGTAGCTTTCTTAGTTCGGTTTAAAAACTAGGAAAGCTGGCTTTGCCCCGAAGACTTAGCTCGGTCGAAGGCAAAGGTTTCCAGTTTGCTTTGTTCAAACTTAATTCGGTTCATTTATCTCAATTCGGTTCGTTTATCTCGGTTAAAGTAAATCAGAAGGTGGTTTGACTTGGTGAAACTACTAGTTTTGTGTGAAGTGTTAGTCCGGTGGATAGCCTGGTTATGCAGGCACCAGCCACAAACAACTTCTTAGTTCGGTTATGTTGGGGTTGTGGATCAATAGTGATGTTCTACAGGTTTCGTGAAGTTGAGTGGTTCTACTACATGTTTTGCAGAAAAGACGAAGGCTAAACAGAAAAGGTGTTTGCAAAAAGCACACAAAATAAAATATGGATTGAACAAATAAAAAAGCAAACAGAGCAAGAAAGATGGATTTGCTTACCAGATTGAAGTAGAAGACCTGGAGATGGAAGCGACGGCAGTAAAAGAGGAACACGAAGCAAGCTTCACAGTTGCAAAAGTTGGAGAGCAATGGAGCTTGAAAGAGAGAATGAGGGAAATAAGAAATACAGTGGTGAATCCAAAAATGAGGAGATTATTTTGTTAAAAGGACGAAAGTGAAAGGGCGGGAACTGTTCAAATTTTGCGAAGTACGAGGGCGGCGGGACAGCTGCAGAGGGCCAATCAGGACCGGCCACGTAAAGGGCGGGAACTATTCAAATTTTACGAAGTACGAGGGCGGCGGGACAGCTGCAGAGGGCCAATCAGGACCGGCCACGTGTCATTAGAATAAGAATCGATTCAGTAGCTGTGATTGAAGGGACGTTCTGACCGAACAAGTACAGCCCGGCATGAATTTAGTTCGGCTAGAACAGGAGAGGAATCTTAGCTCGACTGGAAGTCAGGTAATCCCTATCATGCTTCGTAGATGGAATTAAGGGGGAATTGAGAGGGTAATTTATATATAAATTGGGCCGAGCTAGGGTGATGGGCCGTTTTATGGGCCGTGTTAAGGAGGCTTAAAAGATGGGCCATGGACTAGTGGTAGTCCGGTCCGAACTAAGAAGTTTGTCGCCGGAGTATGTGGGATTAGTTTGGTCTACATGATTTGGGGGGTTAGCTCGGTCACGCTGTTTGGAACCGAGGTATGTTGAGCCCACCCTATGACTTGATCATAGTTAGCTCGGTTTAATTCTTCTATGGATAGCTCGGCTTTTGTATATGAAACCGAGGTAGGAGAAAGGAAAGGATAGCCGATGTAACCGTTAGATCAGTCTCGCTAGTTAGTCCAGCATGGTACTGTTATTTCGATCCTGTGGTAGCTCGGCCATGGTAAAACCATCTCACTTGGTTTAAGCAGTGAGGGGGGTGTTGAAGGATAAGCATTTACAGCCAAGTTTGGCTAACCTAAAAAAGTGCACTTATTTCATTTTTTTTATCTTTTTTGGGTCACATCAATCAACATCTCCTCTTTACTTTTTCTACACATAATACAAAAAAAGTCAAAAAGTGCACTTATTTAGTCTTCCCAAACTTGGGAGGACTCTACATGAAGGAGCAAGAGTCCTACTTGGATTGTGCCACACGGAACCTATAAAAGCTCACAAACATCACCTATGGAGAGGTAACACAACTTTATTTTCTGAATACACAGAGCTTTTGTCTATTTGTCAAGCTTACTAACTTAGGCATTGGAGAGGTTTCCGGCACACACCCGCCGGCTAGCTAACGTTTGTGTTTTCAGGTGATAAAGCGACGACGTACGGAAGAGTGCAGACTTGATCAACAGGATTATACGAGAAGGTTTATTTCTTTCCCGTACAATCACAATAAGTTTTATATTGTTAGGTAAGTTTTTAACATTATTGAACTGTATATACAATGCTTTTGTGGTCTATTTTAGATTGAGTAATGTGACTAGCTTGTATTTATGGAAAAGACTACCAAAACATTACCTGAATAATGCACGTAAAGGTAGTTTTGCAAAAAAAAAAAAAAAAAAAATCCAATAAGTCATGTAACTTGCAAAGACATTGTTATTAATTTTTCTTCATCGAATGACTGTAGGTATTCTTTGGACTAACTTAAACCCTAACAAAACCCTAAGTTTGTCTTCATCATCCCTAACAAAATCTATCAAAAATCGTCCACTTTATTTTCTTTGTGTTTATTTTATTGTCAATTGTATTCCCCTATCTCCCTTACCTTTGTTGTATCAATGAGGACAAAGGAGTTCATGCGGGTAAGAAAGGAGTTGGATAAGGAAGGAATCAAATTTATTTTGGGACCTAGGATTTTTAGGAATTAATATGGTATTAGGTTATGATGCTTTCCTAATAAAGTTGCTTTTATTTATTCAAAAAAAAAAAGTATTAAGTTATTATTAAAGATTTCATTAATATTTGGTTTCCTATCTATCAATATATATTTTCCTATAATTGATTACGTCTCTGTCTTATAAATCAAGAGTGAGGACACTTTTTCCTTATCCTTTCCATGTAGTTAAATGAATAGATCTGTTAGTTTGTTTCTTGACTACTTTTTTTTTTTTGATTGGCACCGGGGTATCCGGATCAAAGCCCGACTAATCCCCAAGGAAGCATAGGCCCTCGGCAAGAAGTTTCCCGCAAGTGCATCACAGTTAATTTAAAGGTTTTTCCTTACTCCGATTACCCCAAGGAATTGTTAGCACCTAACAGGTTTTGATCCCTGAACCTTGGAGAGAGCACACTCCCACCCATGGCCTTGCCACCAGGCCAACCCCTTGGGGTTTAGTTTGTTTCTTGACTACTTGTTAAGACAATATTTCCTTGTATGTTTTCTATAGGGGTTATTATGAAATTGAAAGGTTGTTGAACGAAGACAAGTTTTGTGCATGTTAGCATGTCCTGAAGTTTCTTTGAGCTATGATTAGTTTTCATATGGCTTCAAGGTTGTGTAGTTTGAACATTTTGGGTATATATTTGTAGAAACATTTTTTGAAATTATGATTGTATGCTTCGTAATCTTTCCCCTTCATCAAATTTATTGAGTCACTATAAATCACCCAAGTTATTTTCCAAACAGCAGAATGACAAACATATATGCATATAATTTAATCCTTTATCCTGTTTTCCAATCAACATTTACTATCCTTATACACACATACATCAGAAAAAAGCAGTACAACGTTCAATCCAATAGCAGTACATTCAATCCATTAATAGTAAATGGAGTCAGAGAAAGTGTGAAGATTTGCCTAATTGATGGGTTCCATAGAACCAAATTGACTTGGCATAAAAAAAAGATTCCATTAAGCACAACAAGCCATTGCATGAACCCACAATGTCCAATGATTTTAGAGAGTTGTGAAATGGGCTCTTGATTCTGAGATTCGTAGTTGATGACTAATTGGCGAAGAGTGTGGTGATGAAACTTGGGTTGGTAATTAAGTAATTCCAACAATCTTGAACCAACAATCCATCACATGAACCAACAATCTTGAACAATTCGCCCTAGTTTGTGAGTGTGATTTAATTTAGTTCGATTGAAGTGTGTGGTGATGAAACTTGGGTTGGTAATTAAGTAATACCAAGATTTGGAGACTGACCTGAATCGCAGCAGAGACTTCACTGGTAGTGTTGCAAGCAAGGATCTCCATCAAGGCTTCGTCAGGTATGTAATCCGACACTGTTTTCTTCTTTTTCCCTCCTCAGCTTCTTGCACACTTCAGAGAAGATTTCTCCTTTTCTCTTTTTTGTTTTCCCTTTTTCTAACAGACAGTTGAGAGAAGATTCAGACTTAAATGTTTTGTTTAATTTTCAGAAATTGTTTTCAGAATTAATTTTTTGGGATAATTAAAAACAATTTGAAGGTTTTAGTTTTGAAACAAAATAAATTTTTAATTTTTAATTTTGTCATATTAAATCATCTCTTGATTTGTTTTTAATTTAAATTATTAGTTTATTTTTGTTAAGTAAAATCAATAAAAAAATAGTAATTTGGTTATTAAACTCAATATAATTATACATAAAATGTTTAAATATTCTTCTTGTTGAGTTTAATAACAAAAATACTCATTTTTTCATCAATTTTAGGTAAATAATAATATAGGTAAATGTTTAGATTAAAAACAAATCAAATATTTAGGATTTAAACTGTTAAAATTAAAAATTAAAAATTATTTTGTTATAAGATTCAAATTTTAGATTTTTTTTAATAATTTTTTATATTTTCCATACCTTTATAGTATTGATGACATATATCATTTAGGCTTCGTTTGGGGATTACATATTTTAGTTAAGAAGTCAAAAAGTCACTATAAGTTGTCACATCACTCTCTTTACTTTTCTACACATATTTTCGTAAAAAGTCAAAAAGTTACTAAGGATTCGTTTGGGAAGTGGGTTGACTTTTTGACTTTTTTAGCCTGAGGCTAAAACGTCTCTTTTAGGATAGGTTTTTTTAGCTTTTTTAACTTTTTTTAAGAAAAAGAATATAATGATTATGGGTTGGATGTGATGTTTTGTCTTATTAGGCTAAAAAACTTATTTTTATATTTTTGTGATTAAAATAATCCCAAACCTAACCCAACCCTTCTTTCCAAACAAGTTCCAAAATAACATGTTTCCAAACAAGGTCTTAATAGGCAACTTTTCTTTTTCTTTTTTCTTTTCTTTTTTCTTTTTTTTTTTTTTACTCTCTCAGTGGCATGTGTAACGCCCGAAAATTTCGGCATGATATATCTATTTATGCAACAAAACCCACCTGATAGATAAACATATGAATATAGCATACTATTCCATACTTTCATTTCTATTAAATTCCAAATGCCAAATACATGCTATTCACATCTCAATGCTCTAGTTCTAATCCCAAACATGTATTTTTCAGCAAATATGAAATGGAAGTCAAACAGATAATAAGTGCCCTACAGGCTTACAAATTTATCCAAGAACATTCTTGATTACACAAAATGGAGTTTCAACTCAACACAAATACAGCCCTGGGCTGACATTCAACAATTAACAAATAAACAAAATGAAGCCTCAGCTCCAAGTCCTCCCAAGTCAATGCATTGGCAGAGGCATAGGATCTGTACCTAAAATGATTTCTCTTATAAGGTGAGCCATAGCCTAGTAGAGATATACTGCACAACATATAAACAATGACAAGACTAAAGAGGAGTATACTCATGCCATGCTCATGATAAAACAGTTTATCTCTCTTTTTATAAAGTATGCAATGTTGAGATGCAACCACAAATATAAAACCATTTCTATATTAAACCATATCTGTTACATGAATATGGGCCTTGTGAATCTCTCGGGGAATGTCTGCAAGTAGGCCCTAATGCACTACCACTGTCATTTTTACCAGCAAATTGGAAGGCTCGACACCTAACTGCGTGGTTCCACACCCCCTACCCAGATTCACCAAGTATTCATCTTTTCCCAAACAGATACATTTCCAAAACATTTCTCAAAAACAGATACATTTCCAATGAAATGAATGTAATGCAATGTCCAATTCAACAAATAAGGAATGTGGTTCAATTTACCTAAGTCTCATACATTTCTATAACAATCATGGCTATCCTCCACCGATAGTCCAAAATAGATATTTCTAAACAGATATTTAAACAATTAAATTCTAAAAATTTTGATAAATATAATCTATTCCACATCTCATCAAATATGAATAACTACACTAGTTTTCACCCCAAAGCCTATCTGACAACCGAACTAACCGTAGTACTCCTTTTGACCGGTGTATCCACTGTCTTTCGTATTTGGACCTATCTCAGCCCAACACCCAACTCGGCCCAATTTATATACATAAATTACCCTCTCAATTGCCCCTTAATTCCATTTGCATAGCATGATAGGGATTATCTGTTCATCAGCCGAGCTATAGTCCCCAAACCTTCCAGCCGAGCTACAACCATTTAGCTTATCCTGCCGAGCTAAACTTAAACCGAGCCGCTCTCATTCGGTCACAATGTCTTTTCAATCACCAAAAACTGAATCGCTTCCTATTCCGTATACACGTGGCACGTTCCCACTCGCGGAAGGCAGCTGTCAACGCCGTCTTCGTATTTCGCAATTTTTGAACAGTTCCCGCCCTTTCTCTCTCTTTCCACAAAACAAACATTTTGTCTTTGAATCATTCACCTACACTATTCACCTTCTTCTCTCTCCGTGCCTCTGCTTTTCCAACCTCTGAGTTCCCTGAGTTCGTGTTCTTCGTTGGTGCTGTTGCTCCCATCTCCAGCTTCATCTTCTTCTTCTGGTAAGCTTCAAAAAATCTGTTTTGTTTTTTCTTCTTTTTGCTTTCGTTTAATCCATTGTAGTTTGTTTGGTGTGCTTTTTGCAAACACTTTTTCTATCTTGCTTTGCTCTGTACTTTTATGGAAAAAACTTTAACAGTAGAACGCATGAGTATATGATATATCCTGTAGAAAACTAGCTTTTGATCCAGAATCTTGTCCCAACCGAACTAGGAGACTGTTTGTGCTATATATGTAGATCAATTCAGACAATAACCGAACTAGAACGCATAGAAATAACAGTAGTTTCAGCAAGTTACCAACTCCTGATTCACTTTAGCCGAGATAAGCTCACCGAACGAAGTTTGAACTCAGTAAACTAGGAACCTCGGCCTTCAACCGAGCTAAGCTTTTGGGGCTAAGCCAGCTTTCTTAGTTTCTTAAACCAAACTCAGAAAGCTGCCCCTAGAGGCTTAGCTGAAGTAACATAACTCACAGTTCAAACCGAGATAACCAACCTTACTAGGTTTGCACTTAGTATACTGAGATACCTGAACACCAACCGATTTAGGCCTTCGGGGCTAAACCAGCTTTCTTAGTTTTAGACCGAACTCAGAAAGCTGCCCCTAGACGATGAACCGGTCTAACAAAATTGTTTCCAAAGCCAGTATGCCGAGACGCTTGCCAAGGTCTGGCTAATAAAAAACCCTGCTCAAACCGAGCTACCAATCACCCTGAAGAAACCGAGATAAAACTTGTAGAATCCACAAAGCCGACGTGGGGCTCCTATTTTTTTACTTTTATTTTGTAGCACGGTCCAATGATCTGTGCTTAACCCCTTTGTTTTCTACTTTGCAGACTTAGGTTGCCCAGGCACTCCTCTGCACGCTCAACCGAGCTACTGAGCACAATTTTTGGACTGAACTAATTTATTCGTAAATTATACAATAAATGGGGAAGTATAGGTATCTAGTTGAGACGCCAGGTGGTCTAGCCGAATTCCGAAGGGATTATGGCATACCTGACGATGTACACCTTACCCTGGCAGAAAAAGATGTCATACCCTGGGGGAATGAAGGTTTTGTCCCCTTCACCCTCTTGTCCATAATTGAGACCGGACTACGATTTCCAGCCCAACCCTTGATTTGTGAATTCCTTAGACAAACCAGAATATGCCCAACCCAACTATCCACCAATTCATACCGTATAATAATGGGAATAGCCGAACTAAACTGCCAAGCCAGTCTCAACCTCGGTCTAGCTGAAATATTCCACCAATATTCCTTAGGATCAAAAGAAGATGGGTGGGTCTACTATTTAAGAATACGGCGTCGCCGAGAGAAGATAATAAAAGATACACCGGATAAAGACTTAAACGATGACGATTTTTTCTGGGTGTTTGGGAACTTTGAAGATCATCAAGCCCAGATTCCTGGCCGAAGTATAAACTGGAAAAAAGGAATCCCCGGTATAACTTACTTCGGTTTCCTTTTATTCTTTGTCTTTTACCTTGGCTTCCAATTTTAAGCCGATCTAACAGTTTGTCTTCTTTCTGCAGATTCAGCCCATTTTCAATCATTGTACAGCTACCCCAACCTTGAAACTCTCCGCGCCGCACTTCGATATAAAGAACGGAGTTGGGCTAAGCTATTAAATTTTGAGCCGACCTACAGATACAGTGGTCGCCGAAAAGCGAGAGTGACCGACTTCCTGCTAGAAGAGGCCCCTAAACCGGATCCAACCTTGCCAGAAATTAGACTAATCCCACTAACCGCTGAAGAGGAGATGACCAAGAGAAGCAGAGTCAGGGCCCTTTTGACCGAAACAAACAGGCCCGAAGTACCAGAATCAAGCCAGGCTCAAGAGACCGTCGTCGCCCTTCTTTCTCAACAGCCTTGTTCCTTACGCCGAGCTAAACGTGCCAGGACTACCCAGACCGAACAACGTCTGGTTGATGAGGACGACACCATCCTTCCACCGAGCCACCCTCCAAGTCCGCAACCGGAGCCCTCAGACCGAGCTACCTTAAAGTGGGCACCCAAGCTCACTTTTCAAAACCGAGATATACAAGAGACTGACTCAGTGGTTGCTGAGAAGGATCACATATTGGCTTTCAACCTCGCCAAAAGTGTGTGCCTTCCAAAAGACATGGAGCACCACAATCAATTGAACACCGAGTTGAAGGCCATCCGATCTTCAAAAAAATCCATGATCCTGGTAGGCACTTTTCCTCTTTGCTTTTATATCCTTCTAGTTTTTTTTCCAACTTTCAGTTCGGTTCAAAAAGAAAGTTACTATTCTTTTGCAGGCCATTCAGAAGAACAACATCGCCCACAAGCGAGTGTTGGAGCTCAGGAGGACTACAAGGGAAGCCATGGCTGAAGCCGAAGCCAAGACCACTGAGCTGAAACAATCCCAGGAAAAGATGGCCGAGCTGGAGGCCGAGGTAACACGTCTAACCGGACTAGTTACCTCGGCTAACGCTGACAAGCAAAGAGCTTTGACCGAAATGAGAGATAAGCACCTGTGGGAGCTAG